ACCGTACTCTGACAGAAACCACTTCTTGCCAGTGCGCCGGCGCTGCCGGCCCCGCTGCTCCCTGGGGCCCGGCCACTGCTGCAAAGCGCCCAGGATCCCGCAGGGAGCCGGGCCGGAGCCACGGACCCCCAGAGGTGCCGCCCGTGCGGACCGAAAATGAAAATAAAATGAAATTTTGAAAAAGACAGTTCCCGGCTGCAAAAATGCTACGAGCGGCGCTTTTGCTATGGTTTACAAAAAAAGTGGAGCTCATAGCATGGTTTTGGTAGTCAAGTCATAAAACTATGGAGCGGAAATCCTAGAGATGAGGAGGAGATGCTTGGTCGTGTGCATCTACCGGCACGTTGGCTCCACTTCTACAGAGCGAAAAAATAATCTATCTTAATATTTATCGTGGTTACAGCTATGGCTGCTAAAGAAAAGGCACAGTAATAAGGCAAAAAGAAAAGGGCATTTGTTTCTCCTGAAGTTCTTGCAGGCAGGAAGGTATTTTATCTTACTCTACCACGCATTAGTTGTGTTCACTTAAGAGCTCGCTCTCAACGTTGGGCAGGATTCTGCCCTTGGCCAATGGGTGAAAGTCTCGAGTAAGAGCCCCTGAGTAGCAAGAGGTATTTTGGATTTACGCCACCACAAGTGAGACAGAATGTGGCCCCTTATCAGGGCTTTTTTGCTTTGAGTATACAAATATTTTATGCATTTCAATGAGTGACAGAATGCAAAACTTGCAAATATTTATTTTTAGATGTATGGGGGAAAAGCAATTAGAGCTAAAAATGTTAAGAATGAAGAAATCACTTAACAGAAGCAATTATGTTGGGCATATAAACAGCTCTGCCTTCAGACGCTTTAGTCAAATGCTGCAGAGCACACCAGAAAATATCAATTGTTTAAAAAAACTGCAAGTATTTTTTCACAACTGAAAAATCAATCATTATAAACAACATCTGGGGATCATTAATATCTTACTCTACAGTTGGATTAACAAAATAAGAGGTCTGACCAGAATCCAGAACATTTCCAGATTTTCTTTTTCAAGCTAAAAGCGTATGTTTGCAGAGGTGGGCTGGGCAGGGAGAAAGAAATATGCATTTATCTATGTATATTGTGTATAGCACTATTATGCATTAATCATTACTTCCCCTACAGCTATGTCCTGTTTTTGTTTTGAGAGAGTTAAAATTGAAATATTTAGCTAAGCCACTCTATCCAGAGCCTTGGAAAAGATTTGCATATTTTTCAGACTGCTGGAGATGCCACCGAAAAGCTGCACTTGAGCAGGGCCCAGTATCCCCACGAACAAAAGGCCCCCATACTCTTCACATCCTGTTTTTAAATACCAAAACATGCTACCCTTAGCAGAGGTGCACAAACACCGATCCCACCCTAATATCACATGTGTGTTGAAACGAGAAAGCTGAAAACTGGAAATTTTAAAAATGGCACTGGGGAAAGAGGTCTACAGGCTGCCTTTTCCCTTTTCTGCATGGAGGAGGAGGAAAACTTGCAGTTTTGCTCTGTCTATGAATGAGGATACAGCTCCCTGTCTGGCTCACGGTACTTCCTGCCATCCTCTGGTGCGCAGGGAAACATGGACATCTCCTACACACTCCGACCATGACATTATCACAGGGTTGTTTCCAGAAGCAGATATATGCAGTGTTTGAAAAAAAATCAGAGAAAAAAAATATTAAAAGCACCTAGAGCCCTTTTTTAAATGGAAAGTTGTCAAAAAAAATAAAATAAATGCAACGCATAAAAACTGAACCCAGGCCTTCAGGTAGGAAGAATGTTCTCCCTGCTCCTCCTCCGGCTGGATGCGGCTCCCGAAGGCAAGGACACGAGGCACGCTGATGGAGACCTCGCAGGCGACCACAGCTGGCACCAGCTGATTAATATCCCCGCCACTTGACCAAAATGCTACAAACTTCGGTGCAACAAAACACTCCAGTCCAGGTGGGGGCTCGATACACACGCGATTCCCTTATCGTCCACCTTGGGCCACAGACCGCGGAGCTCTGGCTGCTCCAGAGGAAGGGACCCCCCGGCACAGAGCCCTGGCAGGGCAGGGGGACAGGGCCCTCGGCCGGGGCGCAGCCTGTCCCAGCCTGGCCTCAATCCCAGCGACGCCAGCGGCCCTGCCGGTAGCCAGCACACAGCAGCACCGCAACGCGGCTCTTCAACCAAAAAACATTAAAAATACCTTTCATTCCTGAGCGCAACTTTATCCGAGAGATGGCTTACAGAGAAAAGTCAACTTTGACTCAATAAAGAATGTCACCAACAGGAAAACTCTGCATTTCATTACACTGGAAACATTCTTCTTTCTCTCGCTCTTTTCTTTTTTCTTTTTAGGCTCATTTTACACGCAGGGTTTTGTTTTGTTATGTTTTTCCCCTAAACAACTGATTGTATCTATGAGTCACCAAGTTCTGCTAAGCTGAGATGCATAACGAAAGCAAAGGCGAGATTTCAGCTGTGCCGGAAGCAGCGGTCCCGCTCGGCGCCTCGACGGAGCCCGCTGCACCCCACGTGCTTCTTGCTCTGTTTTCCCAGCGCGAGCAACATGGAGCTAGGCTATGGAGCAGGAGAGGGGTGAGCAGGGAAGCGGGGCTTGCAGTGCCTTGGCACATTTGTGTTTTTTTTCAATGAGCAGCTTCTCTGTGCGCCGCTCTTTTTATGGTAAAATGGAGAAGTTTCATTTCTCAGAGGAAAAGATGATATTAATACCCCGGCGTGATGCAGTTCTCTTCACTTTTGTGTATAAAATATTTTCTAAAAATTTGGCCTTTACACATAAAAATAAAACTTTAAACCTCCTTTTGGGGCTGAGCAAGCGTTTACAGTACCCCAGGGACCAAACAGCTTTTTTAATAGCATATTGGACCCAGCATGCTATAAAAGTAATCCAGGACAATTTAAAATTTACCAAACAGAACTAAAAAATAGACCAGAAATAAATGCTTCGAGTTTCCCTTGCGCTTCGGCACATGCACCGGCCAGCGCACGCTCCGGCTGCCCCCGGCGGGCAGCAGGGACAGCACCCTGACCCGGGACAGCAAAGCGTCCTGAGAAACGGCCTCGCCACCACAAATCTCCCTTTTCTTCCTCGTGTGCCGCTGTGTTTTTTTGTGTTTGCATTGCAGAACAAGGAGGGACAAACAAGGGTCTGGGGAGGAGGAGCCAGGGGAGAACAACATGTTTTTATTGCAAATGCATAATAAGAGCAGGGAGAATACTTCCTGGAAAAACATTTCTCTCCATTAAACCCATGCAGCGAGGCCGCTGGCAGCTGCGGCGAACGGGGCTTGCCCGCGGCTCGCGGCGCCTGCGCTTCCCCACCTCTGTCCCTCCGCGCGCTCCCCGCCTGCAGGGGCGAGCCAAAGGCGCCCGCAGCTCTTCCTAGGCACCTTTGAGGAATTTTGGTCACAATTCTGTAATCTGGTCTCCCCCTCCGATTCAGCGGATAAACGCCAGGGCCTTGGAGTAATCCATTTATCTGCTGTACCACCCTGCCTCTGTTTAGATTCAGCAGTCATCACGTTCCACATGTGACATCAATCTACATGATATCAATGTAAACTGTTTGTATAACAAAGTGTTGCACATTTTATTGTCCTGCCAGGAAAGAAAGGGATAAAATAACACTTTGCCCATTGCCTTTGACGAAGGTAACATAATTGACACCATGCATTTTGCAATATAGGAGCTGAACGATATATTGGGCAGTGTTTGCCTTCCTAAAACAGCAGGGCGCGCGAATTTTACCACATCATTATTTGCATTTACAAAAAACAAAAACAAAAACAAAAAGACTTCTAAAGAGTAGTGTGTTGTTTTTTTTTGTTTTTTTTTTTTTTTACAGGCATTACAAGATCTGCTTCCTAAACCAAACTAAGTTTTAAATACACATAATTAATTTCTATTGCAAAGATTGCCGTGGCTCTGGTTTGATAATGAGATAATTGCCTTGCAAAGGTCAAGAGAACAGCACAGATAGCTCTGGGAGAGCAAACAAAGCACTTGCTATGGTTCGCAAAGCATCATTCTGCATCACTCCACATCGCTTTGATTCATCTATTACTAATATTCCATGATATACTTGCATTATGGATCCAACCACTGCAGCAAACCTGTAATCAAGGAGTGACCCCGAACAAAACACTCTACCGCAAACAGATGGTACACTCGTCGCACGCCTTCCAGCCTAACGTGACCTTTCCCATATATGAAGGATAGTTAATTAAAGTTGAACTTTATATTCTGAGGTGGATCTTAAGGTAAATAAAAATCAAGATGATACTACTGTGTTAGCAAACCAAACTTCCACGTAATTCCTTCTTTCTTTTTTGCATACCCCCCAGCAACCACTATGTTCATTCACTCAAAAGCCAATTTTTGCTGTGACTGCATGTGGGTTTACTAGTTTGGGCCCAACGCTGCAAGCCTGGCATCACTGACCACAGCTAAAGACATGGCACTGGACCTGTGCCTGGAGCTACCATGGCCAATAGGGAAGGCACCCCTGCCACACATCCAGTAGCACGTCCTCTGCCACTTGGGCTGGTCTTACTAAAAAAGGTGCTAAATCACCCCGCAGCTCTCGCAGCCTCGGGGAGCAGCAGTGAGCTCTCCACACTCCTTGAATTAAGAGATCACCTCCTGGACCTGCCTCTGCACATGCAAAGTCAAGCTCCCCGCGTGGCAGAGCTCCCACGGAAAGGCTGCCTTCCAGGAAGACCAGGACTGCACCGTCAAGCGCGGCCGCTTCTCCGGCCCTGCCTGGGAGCGCGGCTCTGCTTGAGCGGCGCGCGGCCGTAGCAGCGGGGCGCACGGCAAGGCTTTGCTCCATTGCATTTGTTAGCATATGGTACCAACAGCAACTTTGCAAAAATAAATACCATTGGCTCGCACTTCCTCCTCGAAAAACAGTGGACATTTAAGCTGAGCAAAAACATCATTACTTGAAAGAAAAATAAAATAGATGTGAAGTGACTTACCAAACTCATCACATATACTTTCATTTTCTATAAGAGTTGGATGATCAAATGTATCCCGACAGTAGAAGATTTGGGGGTTCTTGCTTGTTACTGCAATGCCACCCAGGGCTAAAACAAACTGGTCTGTTAGCACTGAAGAAGGCTTGTCCTGAATGCGCTTTAACATGGAGCGGTATCGACAGTACTGGGGGTAGCTGAGAATTAGCAGGTTTGAATCTTCATCATCCTCACCTGGAAGAAAAGAAAAAACAAGTACACTTAATAGATCAGGATCCTAAACAAAGGCTGGTCAACAGGGGAGAACATTTCGGAAAACTCCAAGTCAATAGGGAAAGTCTTGTGCTTGTCTCAAGACCGATCTTTTATAACAGGGCGGGTTTTGAAAGGAAAGTAAAAAATATATACAAAAAGATGGTTAGTGAAACAGCTGCTTCTCTGGCTTTCTGTCCTGTTCTCCCAGCCTTTGGCTCAAAGACTCTGCTCTCCTGAGTAAGAAAACACCGCTCGGCAGAAGCTACCCAGTGGATTGAACCAACGCGTTCCCCGTTTCCCGGCACTTTGCCGGCTCTGTTGCTTTGATTGAATTATTTCCTGTCATTTTACTCAGCTCCCTACACAATCTCATTGAGTTGGTCTTTACACGATTTAACATCTTTTGAAAATAATATATATATATATTTTCCGGAATGAAGAGCAATCAATTCGCTTTGAAGTATTTCATACTGGCAGCCACAGAAAAGCCCCTGGGTAAGGAGGTGGACTCCCAAAATGCTCATGCTGCCTCTAGGTAGACTCAAAATACGAAGCCCCTTAGAGGCGAGTCCTCTTCACTGCACGGGCGTTTTAACGATGCTGGCATAAAGGCGGCACAGTCAAGATGCGCCGCACGCTGAGCAGCAGGAAAGGCAGCAGCACAGGAGCCGAGGTGCGAACACGAGGAGCTGCTCGTGGGCAGGCGTGCAGCCCGCAAGCAGCAGCGCCTCGCTGGAGGATGCAGCTCCACTCTGAGCACCAGCTAACTCAGCTATTTTTTCTGCCAGAGACAAAAGGTCTCTTACTTAAACCCATTACCCATGCCAAAATCGCCTTCCTTATCCTTAAAGTCAAAATCACGTCCCATATCGGAAGCAATGTCCAATCAGTTCTCACCCAACCACACACGACAGCACAACTCATCTTGATTTGCGTGTGGAAATGTTGACACAGAAAAGGCTAAATTTTATGAATGTAGTCTCTGCAAGCAGATCTATCACCCAGCAGGTCACCACTGCAGACCAAGGCAACGCTGCAAAGAGCTCAAGCCAGCACACCCATTGGGGTAGGGCTGTTGGTAGAAGGTCAGATCTTGAAAGCGATCATTTCTGAAAACCCCGAGTGCTGCCCACTACCCCTGAATCTGGCGGGAACATCGAAACAGTTTGTGTATTTAAAAAAAAAAATCACAAAAATACACATTGCAATACATAGCAAATGGCATTAATATTACTCTTCCAAGAAAATGTAACCTGTGATTCTAAAAACTCTGCTGGTCAAAAAGGATGCGGTTTTGAAGCAAGCAAGTGCCCTGTAAGGCTACCCAAGAATATGCTGGGGCGCTGCTCCCGGGAATAAGGAGGCATTCCTCTCCATCAGGAAACTGTGACCAGGAAAAGCACGTGATCCACCCACGGGCACCTTGGGGAGCTCTGTGCAGACTGGCCTGACGGCCGCTACCGCTTCACACGTTCGTGTGGATGGCGAGGGGCTGGCACTGCTCACCAGGCAGCACCTCTCATGCCAGGATGTGGTCGGAGTTTTTTTCTCTCTTTCTTTTTCTTTTTTTTTTTTAAGACAGGGTATATATAAATTCATGTCCCACATGCCTTTGTAGTAAACCACTGGTTTCTAGACCAACATGCTCTAAGTGACTGCACTGAATTCTATAAACTTTCTATCTCTCACACCTGACGCGTTACCTCAAACCCGTGTCGTACACTCGAATCAGAGCATTTTTCGCAGGATTGCTCGTGCAACTCCAGCGAATACTTGGTGATGCACTTCTTTCCCTTCGCTACTCACCCCAGGTTCAGGAGGCAAATTTAAGCATGAATAAGGACTGCATGAAGCAAAGATGTGTTTAGCGAGAGGTGTTCCTGGAACAAAACGCTGTTCCCCCCAGCATGCTCCCGCAGGCAGGGAGGAATCAAAGCAGACCAATCCCTAATAAAACATAAGTCCAAAGAAGAAGCATTTTTCTTCCAGCAAAATCTAGCACATGGCGTGTAATGGTGAGCTTGGTGCTTATCTTTGATGAGGATGATCAGAAAGCCTGAACTAGTGCAAGGGGAGAGCGAAACGTTAACCGCCTGCCATTACGAGCAAGAAAAAACAACGTAATTCCTAATTAAGATCTTAATAAAGCAAGATGCAGAATTTCAGAGTCTGGCTTTAGCTTCAGTAAAGTCAACACTGTAAAAGATAAAGCCTACAGGACGCCGCTCGGAAGATCCAACCGAAATTACTCTAATCCCGCGCTTATATCATAATTACATGTTTTAATAATCCCCTTCAATGTCAGTTTTTCATTGGGGTCTGCGTTTGGGGGCTGTGAGCAGAGAAGGTGCCGTTGCGGCGGGGGCGGTTGGGCTGGGTTCCCCGTTCCTCAAGGGGCCGTGGTGAGCGGGAGAGGCACCAAACGCCAAGCACAGGGAATCTGTGCGAGAACTGACTTCAGAGCAGCACAGACATGTAAAAAAAAGAGAAAAAATGCGATGCGAGGCAATTAAAGGCCAAAGAAAAAAAGCAAGACTGCTAAAAACTTGAATTCCTAAAAAAGCCACGCAGAGCCAGACCTATTTAGAGAAAGAACGGAGAAATACAAAACCGTAACTCGCTTTTTGTTTGCTTGTTTCGGAAACATCAGGCTGTAATGTTATTGCTAATCTACTCCCAACATCAGTAAGCATTTTTTTTTTCTGTAAAAAGACCTTCACACCAGGAATTTATAGAGCTTGATGGAAAAACTATGCATGTTCCTTCCTGTACCTAATTACCTCAACTGCAAAATCTGCCAAGTATTCTGCCCTTTAGTTCTTTTAATCGTATTAGTGCAAATGCATTTGGATGCCAACAGAAACAAACATTTAAAGATTTTTGCTTAAAAGACTCCAAATATGTATGGGGCTGCTGCGAGGAGTGCACAGTTCCCGCTTCCTCCCCGAAAACACAGGATTTTTTTTTCAGAAGAAACATGGATTTTTTCCTCTTGTAAGACTAAATGTCTAGTTTCAACCCAATTTAAGTAAAATAATGTCAATATGAGCTGCTCTCACAATGATTTATGCTACCTTCTGTTACTTTATTACATTAGACATTCCTTTCTCCGCGCTTTATACTTTTCCCGGTGCTCCTAGCAACCACATAAAGGCTGCTCACCAACTTTACGCACTTGGCACGCTTCCAGCCTCCGCTGTTATTGATAATTATATTGAAGTTTCAATTTAATTGCTACTCTGTTGTGACACGGAATATTTTTTGCAATTAGGCATTTCCCATTTTCTGTCCATTCATTTTTTTTTTGTATTACTGTAAATGATTTTCTTCCAGAAAACATAAGCACAACGACGACACGGGTAAGCCTATGTGCATCTGTTACCAGCATTACCAGCACTGCAATGGGGGAAAAAAATTATGAAAAAAAAATTGTGAATATAATTTCTCGGAAGGTAATTTTCTTTTCAGTTTAAGCGCTCTTATTCTTCTTACAGTTGCTCAATGATTTCCTGTTCTAATTACAAGACATTATACAGAAAGTCGTTTTTTAAAAAGGAAATGCGCCAGAGTGGGAGGCCGAACAGCGCCGCACGCTTTGCTCTGTTTACAATTCCAAACTTGTGCCGCAATTTTATCAATCCTCTGCTCTACCTTTCTGCAACATCCTCTACAGCGAATCTGCAATCTTTCACGGCAGTTAACACAAATGTATACATCAAAGAGGAAAACACACTTGCAGTTAAACTGCAGGGGAAAGAAGAAAAAAAGATCTTTTTTTTTTTCCCCCGCACTGTAGCTGTTGAATTGGCGGCAGGCCAAGCCTAGGAGTGGAAAATATTAAAAAGTGAAAAAAAAAAACCCTAAGAAAAAAAAAGAAAGAAGAAAGCTTGATTAAAAAGCGAGAGAAGAGATATTCAGTTCTAAATCTAAATGAATAAGCCACAAACTATTTCATAAAAACATACTGTGACGTAAATTACACATCAGTGTTGCACTGTTGTGGTTATTTTGAGCAATGGCTTGTACTGTAAGTCAGCTGGTAAAACCCCACCCTTAATGATTTTGTAATTCTCCATACAGCAATCAAGCGGCGCAGTCATGAAATTGCCAAGAAGGAAAACAGACAGAGCTGCACAGAGTTTGTAATAAAAAGATAATGTACTTTTAACATAACAGAAATAGAAGATCGGTTTTATTAACTAAAAAAACTACTTGAAAGGTCCCAAGCTTGCCATTTGCTATGACAAATGTTAACATAGGTCTTTGCAAGACAAGCCATGGGAGCACCGGGGGAAGGGGCACACGGGTAGGGCCCCGACGCGCAGGGAGCGCGTGATACCTGCAAGAGCCGGCGATGCCCGAGGAAGCCGCGGTGCCCGGCGCCGGCCTCCCTCCCACGCAGGGCTGCGGCGCTGCCCCCCTGCACGGCGCTGCCCCCCTGCACGGCGTGCGCTCTCCTGGGGGCTCCGTGGGGCTCATCGTTGCTCCCGTGCCCGGTCACACCGTGAAGGTGCAGCAGGCACCCCAGCCAGAGGTGAGGAGTCCAGACACTCCTAGTGAAACCTGGGAGGGTTAGCTGGGCTGACCCGACACGGCTACGGCTGGGGGGCCCCCGGGGTCCCCCCCCCCCCGGCTGGGCTGCCCCGACACGGCTACGGCTGCGGGACCCAGGTGTCACCTCCTCCTCCAGAGCTGCTGCTCCTCCACTAACTGCTGCAACCAGCTGAGGCCAAAGGGGAAGCTCGCAGAGCAAATGTGGATGAAATGAGTTTCACTCCCACAACAACGTAGCCTGCCCTGGGCCAAAGCAATGGTCCAGATATGTGCCAAAGAACCAGCTCCTAAGATAGGAGCCGATCCTCCATCCCCTATTCTGCTCCTTCGGCAGGGACCTTCTGCAGCACCAGCCTGGAGAAAGCAGGCGTAGAAGAGATGAAGACAAGTGCAGCTCATCCACCAAAACCAACGGGTTTG